CCACGCACGCAGCCGAACGCATGCCGCAGCGTGTACGTGCTCACCGGCACGGCACGCAACGCACGCACAAAAACACCGCATAGCACGCACGTGTACGTGCTCACGGCCACCGCACGCACGCACGACACAACGCATTGCACGCACGTGTACGTGCACATCGCACGCACGCACGCACGCGTAGCGTGCACACGCACGCACGCACGCCCGCACGCACGCACGCATTGCACGCAGTGACGTGACGTTGTCACGCACGCCGCACGAGCACACACACACGCATGCACGGCACGTGTACGTGCACATGCACGCACGCCGCACGCACGTGTAAGTTCGCACGCACGCAACGCACGCACGCACGCACGCCGCCCACGATGCACGGTGTACGTGCACAACGGGCACGCACGTGCCGTAGCACTACTTAAACAGCGCTTTCTTCGGAACATGTGGTCATTCATCTGCTAAATGTAAGCAGCCGCTTCGCTTCTGCAACGACAAATAAAACTACACGCTGACCTGATCTATGACCGTCACATGGAAACATCGCTATTCCTGCATGCGCGATGGCTTGTGCTATGTTTGCTTAGTGAATTATGTACCCGCTAAATTGAGCTGTTCGCTGGCAGCAATTCTGTCCGTGCGCCGGCTTTCGATTTGGCGCACGGATCAATAGCGCCATGCGCGTGATACTTTCGTGACGTTTCCGCGGGTCGCGTTGCGCCTATGCCGCGTTGGAACTGCGCAGATTCCGGGGCTCAGCGGGCAGGTCATCAACACTCTCAGGCGACGCTTTCTCTGGGTATCGGTCTCTCATCTGGTGCCAACGTTATATTTATCTTTGGTGTAAAAGCCTTGAATATTGACTCAAACATGCACACAATAGAACCATTATACTATTAATTATTATATTACTTATATTCATATTAATTGCGTACTGATGCGTCACTTAATTGCTGCATCCTGTGGCACCAAGCGGCCAGTTAATGTCTCAATATTTCATCGTTTTGTTTAATTAATTCAAGCATAGTATCTTATCTCTCTCACCTGTGTATATCAACGGTCTTACGCAGATGGTGTAGACTCATTAGGCGCGTTTTACCATTTAAGTTACTTGGCATGTATACTGACATTGATGGAATTTGGCTATATTCTTTTTTGTTTTCTTTTCTCTTGTTCATTGACGGATTGAAGGAATCTCAAAATTTACATGATTAACAATAGCTTTGAATATGCAGGGGCGTCAAGTGAAGCTGACGCTCAAAAATAGGAAAATTAGGAATTTCAGATGTGAAAAACATAGGAAGAAATAGGAATTTTTGTGATACATAATAGTTGTTAAATGGAATCATTTTTTTGCGAGATTGGCCCCCACACCCCCTCATGCAAGCCATCTCCCGATCCACCACAAATGGTTTTATTAATATACAAATTTGGAGTTACTCACATGCGACAATATTTTGAGGTTTTAATGAGGAAATGCCATGTTAAAATGCATAAGCGTTTATACATGCATAAAGCACCATACTGTAGCTACTCCAAAATAGTACGACGTACATGTTATACATGGGCAGATCATTTGGTCAGTACATTGTGTTTTCAGATATGTACTCGGGTGACAAATATCTGTAGTACCTGGATACGACCACACCCTTGAGCATAACTATTATGTCAGGTGGTTCTAAGTTGGGTTGTGCTGTCATATAAATGTCATAACGTAACAGTTGTTTCCATGCTTATTATCTTATTACACTGTTTTGCTAACATGATTGATATTCGTGGTGCAATGTTTTTGTCGATTTTTACCTATGTCTTTTTCTGTCCATTATTAGTAGTATGAATTAGTAGCACGATTTTTCCGCGCAGCGGGTACCGCAGATAGTTGACTTCTAACTATTTTACAACGCTGTATTGATTGTGTAGGTACAGATATCCCTCATCATCACCCTCTTTACCTCTTTTAAAGTAAGAATTAGCTTTGTGCACACGACGTTTCTGCTATTCGTTTATCGCTACTAGGTTGCCAGTACGATACTAAGTTAGGTCTGTCGGGGGTATCATACGCTAAAGTGCTGTTTGCTAGCTCATTAGATATGGGCCTCTCGTAAAATTTGTCTCGGTTCTCGGATGCAGCAACGTTAGCCATCCGCGCACATCAGCCGCTTGCACGCGCTTATCTCTATAAGTCACATCAGCCACACCTACTACCTGCAATAGCAAGCTAAAAACGTAGGTCTAGTTGCTAAGTCCTGTCACGTGATTTCAACGGTATTATTCACGTAACATGTTCCAGATAGGGGTACCGCGCCCACACCACGAGGACAGTGAAATCACAATTCTGACTATGTATCCTAAAGGCCCAGTTCTCAGAGGAGTGCCCCTGCTAAAATACGACCACGAATTCAAATAGTTTGCCCACCGATACATTTTCAGTCTCGGTCAACTTTTCATCTCATGTATTTTTTGGACATTTGCATCCACCTGCCACAGTGCAGTTTACAATATAATCAAACGACTTGTGACCATTAGTTACACTCGCACATCTCAGATGTCGGAATAATAAATGTGGCAAACAAATGACAAACCTCTACGTTAGAAAGATACCGTCCTGTGACTATTGCTCACTATATGCTCTCATATGACTATACTATTAGCTTGTCCATTAGCTATCCCAAAACTCCAAGCGGCTGACGAAGTAGCAGGCAAAATTAATAGCGAATCATTCATCATCTGTGTACATTCACACACTCGTGGCCGTACTTGACGGCAATCCAAGCTACTGTACCTTGCAATTTCTCCATTGTTGTCTTATTCTGTATCGCCATTGTTGCGGCCAAATGGCCACGACCCACTTTCTAACAAATCCCAACCGAGCTTTTCTTGTTGCCGGAAAATCTCATATATATACCTTGGTTATGTCCAAAACGCGTGTCGATCACTTCCATTACTTTTATTATTGACCAACATCTACGTACCTTTATTATTTACCTAACAATCGCGGACAGCCAGCTGGATTATGTACGGGCGACATAATTTTTCGCGCAAGCACTGACTATAGTGCCGCTTCACACGATTATACCCACCGGCCTGCTGCGCTCTCACCGTACTCCTCCATCTCGGTGCCTGAAATTTCTCGGCTGAAATACGTGTAGCGACCTTGCGATGCGTTCACCACGACGCGACTCGAGCTTAGTGAGCTAGGCTATCATATTGACTGGCATACCCGGTCGACAGTTCACACGCTCACACTAACGTCGCTGTAGCTTTAATGGCTACAGTCTTTCAGGTAAAGGGCGGACACACACGGCCGATTGCATCGGCGCGATCGGCATCGGACGATTGGCATCGCGCGATGAAAATCGCATGTCCACATGTGTCCATCATCGCCGCCGATTTCACCCATGCATCGCGCCGATGCCATCGCACAGATCAAAACGTTTTGATATTATCGCCCGATGCCATCGGCCGATGCAACTTGCCTGATGCAATTAAGCCACTGGTGTGTCCGCGACCGGCGATAACATCGCCCGATTGTACAATTCATCAGCCAATCAGAGTTGTTCAATGATACTGACGTAATTCGACAAAATGGCAGACTTCATGGAGCAGGAGATAATTCATTCAATAAGTTATTAAATACTCCATGCGTCGGTCGACGACCAACCCAGGGTTTAACCCAGTGGGTACGGTTCTCCCACCGTTTACTGCGCTTCCTTGTTCGTCGTAAAGTCGTGATATAAACTGCCATTGCAATGGCAAGTTTCCGTTTTTTCTTATTTATTTTCTTTCTGGACGCTGCCATTTTGTTGGTTACCCCCACTCTCTTTCTCTCTTTCTCGCACTCCCCACGGTCTGTCTCTCTCTCTCTCTCTCTCTCTCTCTCTCGCACTGCGCGCGCAAGAATCGGGCGATGCCATCGGCCGATGCCATCGCCCGATGCAATCGCCTGGTGTGTCCGGCCCTTAAGCGCGCTATACAGTTTCGCAATTCGAAATTGCGTTCACTCGACAGACAATACGTGGCCAGCTCAATACGTGTGAACGCTCAAGTATGGAACTGAAATCCTCGTGTGAACGCAGCTAGTAAGTGGAGTATGAGTAAAGAAGGTGCAAGAGGACAGGAGAAGATGGGTGACCAAAGGCAAGAGAAACAGGTCTACACAGAATACACAGAATAAACCAGAATAACCAGAATAAACCAGAATAACCAGAATCTACACAGAATAAACCATCTGCTTATGACCTCCACCACCTGCCCTTCCTATTCTACTGTTTCTCCTCCCTTTGGTCATGCACCCATCTTCTCCTGTCCTCTTGCACCTTCTTTGCTCATACTCCACTTGGTTTATTCCCATTTCGCCATTTCCCACTTCGCCATTTTCCCATTTCGCCAGTTTCCCACTTCGCCAGTTTCCCATTTCGCCAGTTTCCCACTTCGCCAGTTTCCCATTTCGCCAGTTTCCCGTTTCGCCAGTTTCCCATTCCGCCATTTCGTCCTATCTCCCCGACCACCCCCTTGTTCGAGGTGGGTTATAAGTAGGCCTCTGTAATGAATAAATTATAATGAATCATTAAATATGGAGTCAACTATTTATTTGAAGAACAAGAAGGCGAAATCGTACATATCAACCCATGGATCATGTACAGGCAAACTTAACCCTAACCCTAAACCTAACAACCTAGAAATGACTCTTTTTTAAGAATGGAAGGATAAATTTCGTGCAGGGGTGAAAGCAACATAAAATATTGGCGAAATGGGAAACTGGCGAAGTGGGAAAATGGCGAAATGGGAAAATGGCTAAATGGGAAAATGGCGAAATGGGAAACTGGCGAAGTGGGAAAATGGCGAAATGGGAAAATGGCTAAATGGGAAATGGTGGGAAACTGGCGAAATGGTTAATGGCAAAATGGCAAATGGCGAAGTAGAAAACTGGCGAAATGGGAAGACACCAACCAGGTGCACAGAAAAGAATAGGGAACTGCGAGAACATAAGTTTGAAGAAACTAAACACTATGTTATAAAATCAGCAAGCTTAGACCAACCAGTTTCAAAACAAAAAAAAAACGTTCCGCTTTCATCGGAAATGGAATTAATACATAAATACATATGGTAAACCACGTTTACTGGTGGCCACTCATGATCACGTAGATGATAAATTTTTTAATTAAAATGTAAATCTGTTAATTTTCAGGTTGCATTTCCACCATTGACTGACGCTAGCCATTAATAATGTGGTTTTCTAAGATGTCTTGCCATAATACGTAAAACGCAAAACAACAGCGTTATATATATTACGCTATATATATATATATACGTAAATATATATAGAACAATTCACAGTAATTAAAGGTTCCTGTAGTGTATAACCCATCCATATATTTAGTGTTCCAATTGATAATAATTACAGTCGGTAGATGGAGTTGGTGTAGGAGATGAGGTATTGAAATCGAGGCTCTTATTATGGCGGGTAAATAAACAGCATAAAGACAAAGCAGTGTTATTGGTTAAATCTGGAAATATAACACAGTAAACGTTACATATGGCGACGAGGATAAAAGATTAAATTCGACTGACAACTCAAGCTACAGCTGACGAGATGTCTTCCCTGAAACAGCTGGATATAGGATTATTTCCTGAGTTTGATCTGGCGGGTGATCCTTCCAGTGTTGGTCCCAGATGGCAAAAGTATTTGAAAGCCTTCAGGCCGTACGCTAATGCAAAATGTATCACTGACGACGGTCAGAAAAGAGACTTATTGTTAACATGTGGGGGTTAAAGGTTACAAGATTTATATGACACCCTACACCCAGAAGACTCCGAGGAAGAAGAAGAAGAGGATAAAGAGACAACTGTCAACCAATCTGCTGCTGAAACAGGAGATGGTGGATGTGAAGGAGCAGCGCCGGTAGTGGTGAGAAACAGGTTTAAAGAGACCGTTGAAATATTGTCAAAGCATCTTGTGGTGCAAGTTAATGTGTCGTTCGACAGACATATGTTTAAGAGGCTATACTACCAGAGGCAAATGAGACTATAAGCTGCTACATCACACGGTTGAGAGAGAGGGCTGCCAACTGCGAATTCATAGATGAAGATGACCAAATCAGGGACCATATTATCCATACATATGGGGCCACAAGTCTGCGTAGGAAACTCCTACAAATCGGAAAACAGCTGACATTGGCTAAATTGCAGGAGATTGCTTGTGCCTATGAAGCTGTAGAGACTCAGTTGGAAGAAATGCGTCTAAATGGGACTGTCCACAGAGTAACAGGTAAACCGCAAAGGGATAAACCGATTAAAGATGACAAGGACGGGGTGTATCGGAAGACACTGCGACCATCCCAAGGTGTGTGTTATAGATGTGGACAAAGCGGACATTACGGCAAAGATGTAACTTGCCCGGCTAAAGGCAAACAATGTCGTAAATGTTCGAACTATGGCCATTATGCAAAAATGTGTAAATCCAGTGACAGTACGTCAGACTCCTGGAAGCCAAAGAGGGGTAAAGAGCGTGTAAATTACGCTGAAACGAACCAAACAGAGGAAGATGGTGACCATGATTACACATTTTGTGTAAACGATAAAACTGACTGTGACAGAGTGGAAGTCCAGCTGGGAGGGGTACCAGTGAAAATGGTTATTGACTCTGGTGCCAGTGCAAACATCATCTGCCAGTCTTTGTGGGAGCAGCTGAAAGAAAAGCGGATCAAGTGTGCATCACAGAAATGTACGAAACAACTCTTCGCATATGGATCGATCTAAAGTTCCATTACCTGTAATTGGTACATTTCAGTGCACAGCAGTAGTGCAAAATACACAGGTGAATGCAGAGATCATGGTTGTGAAAGGAAGTGGACAGCCATTACTTGGGAAGAAAACTGCAATGTAACTCGGTGTGCTGAAAGTGAGACTGAATATAAACACAATAGCAAGTGACAGCATTGAAAACGAATTTGAGAAATGCTGTACAGGGGTTGGTAAGCTGACAGATTAGCAAATACAACTACACATCAATGAGGCGGTACAGCCAGTGGCTCAACCTGTCAGGAGAGCTCCATTTGCGCTCTGTGACAAAATCGACCAGAAACTGAAAGAACTGCTTAACATAGATATCATCGAGCGTGTAGAAGGGCCGACACGCTGGGTAAGCCCATTGGTGGTAGTACCAAAGCCGAACGGGGACATTCGTGTGTGCGTCGACATGAGGCAAGCAAATAAAGCGATCATCCGTGAGCGCCACTACATACCAACTGTGGATGAGGTGCTACATGAGGTGAACAACAGCAAGGTATTCAGCAAACTCGACGTAAAATGGGGATATCACCAAGTGGAGTTGAGCCCGGAATCACGTGACATAACAACGTTCGTGATGCATGCTGGATTATTCCGGTACAAAAGGTTAATGTTCGGGATATCGGCAGCACCAGAGAAATATCAGCATGTCTTAGAACAGGTTCTGGCCGGATGCGGGGCCAGTAACATTTCCGACAACATGGAGATACACAAGAAGAACATGATAAATGCATGCTGAGTGTACTGAAGAGATTGAATTAGCGTGGACAGACTTTAAATAAAGACAAGTGCAAGTTTAACCTGACACAGATAGAATTCATGGGACTTCTGTTGTCAACCAGAAGTGTGGGTCCAACCGAAGAGAAGGTCAGAGCCATAGTGGACGCTAGGGAGCCTGAAACCGCAATGGAAGTAGGTAGTTTCCTGGGCCTGGTCAACTTCAGTGCAACGTTCATCCCGGATTTTGCTAGTTTGAGTGAACAGATAAGGAGACTAACCAGAAAAGGCGAAGAATTCAAATGGGGCCCAGAACAGACCCAAGTCGTTCCAAGAACTGAAACGTTGGTTGGCCAATCACAAAACATTGGCTTACTTAAGACAAGGGGAGAAAACACAGGTCATAGCTGATGCAGGACCTGTCGGTCTTGGCGGGATATTGGTTCAAATACAGGACGGAGAGCCCAGAGTTGTGAGCTATGCCAGCCGCAGTCTCAGCGATGTAGAGCGCAGGTATTCGCAAACCGAGGAGGCGCTAGCATTAGTTTGGGCATGTGAGAAGTTTCATACGTACTTGTATGGCATCACGTTTGAACTAGTTACAGATCACAAGCCTCTGGAAGTGTTCTATTCAGCCAGATCGAAACCATTTGCTCATATCGAAAGATGGGTATTACGCTTGCAGCCATACGTGTTCGATGTCGTGTACAGACCGGGGAAAAATAACATTGCTGATGCATTATCTCGGTTAACACAGATCACAAAAGCACAGAACGTAGCTGAAAAATATGTTCAGTTTGTCACTAAAGCAGCGACACCGCGAGCTATGACGACACAAGAGATCGAAGAAGAGTCGACCAGCGATGCTGAACTACAGGAAGTGCAACAATGTATCAGTTTGCAGAAGAAATGGGAAGATTGCAAGTCAGCAAGCTACAAACATTTGTGAGATAAACTATGTGTTGTTGGCAATGTAGTGCTGCGTGATAGGAGAATCGTCCTGCCATGTAAACTGCGACCATGGGCAATTGAACTAGCTTATGAGGGGCACTCAGGCATTGTGGCCATGAAGCAACTGTTGAGAACCAAACTGTGGTGGCCAAATCTCGACAAAGAGGCTGAACGCCAGTGCAGTGCTTGACACAGCTGCCAACTTGTCGGTATGCCAAATGCACCTGAGCCTATGTCGCGAACAACAATGCCCAAGGGACCGTGGGAGGGATGTGGCAGTGGATTTTCTTGGACCGTGACCAAATGGAGTAAGTCTGCTAGTAGTGGTAGATTACTATAGTAGATACTTTGATGTTGCATTCATGAAGAGCACCACCTCTGAGAAAACAATTGAGGCACTGGCAGGAATGTTTGTGACACACGGTCTCCCAGTGACACTCTCATCTGACAATGGGCCACAGTTCCGGTCTGTTGAGTTCAGGAGGTATTGCAAGGACAATGGCATCAAATTGTGCCGGAAAACACCTCTATGGCCACAAGCCAATGGAGAGGTTGAGCACCAAAACAGATCATTGCTGAAACGACTCAAAATCAGCCAAGTCGAAGGTGAAAAGATGCAGCAAGCAGTGCGGAAATTCCTCATGCAGCAGCGCACGACACCACATGCCACGACAGGTGTCACACCATCCGAACTGATGTTTCGGCTAAACATCAGGACTAAATTACCTAACTTTATGAATGAAGGTGTGAGGGATCACGAAAAGGGAGAGACAGAGAAAGTACGCTGACCAGAGAAGGAAGGCGCAGACCAGTACCTTGATGCCAGGAAAAAGAGTACTACTCAGAGGAGCGAAGGATAATAAACTCTCGACAACGTTTGAATCTGAGCCTTACACGTTAGTCAGCAAGACTGGGAACAAAGTTATTGTTGAATTGCCACAAGGAGTGAAGTACGAAAGAAATAGTTCTTTCGTAAAGAAGTACAACGAGCGACCAGCTAGCCCACACGCCGAGTATGATGAGGACAGCAATATCGTACCAGATGAGATACCAGAAGAGGGGAATCCAGCAACCGAAGCTCCAGCAGAAGTGATGGCCCTGAAGAGAACTGTGCGCGTGCGAACAGCACCGAAGAGATTTAAGGACTTTGTTGTGGGCGCAGTTCAAAGTGAATAGTGATTTTGGATACTACTCGTTCCATTGTTTGGTTGTAATACTGGTCTGCATGATGAGTCTGAACGACTTTGATACAAGGACTAGTTTACACAAGGAAGTTTGAACAGTAGAGTTCTTTTCATTGTTGAGAAATGTTTTCAATATATACGGATATAGAAATACATTCATATATAGATGTCCTGCATGTGAAATCATTAATTAGGTTATAATTGTGATCTGAGGAAAAGAGGGATGTAGTGTATATATTTAGTGTTCCAATTGATAACTAGAAAGGGCAGTTGTTGCCAACTACATGTATCCCCCGTGTTCTCCCCAAAAATTGAAGATGTGTAAGCATACGAAGTTTGGTCGCGCTAGGTCAATTAGAGGCCGAGTTAAAGAGCAGAAGGAAAATATGATGAAGGTCAAGGTCAATGTCAAATAAAGGTTGCAGTGACCTGGTTTCGGTACGCGACACACTATCTCCCCAAGATGTGTAAGTATACCAAGTTTGGTTGCGCTAGGTCAATTAGGGGCCGAGTTATAGAGCGGAAGGAAGATATGATCAAGGTCAAGGTGGTAGCGCTAGGTCAATTAAGGTCAAATAAAGGTCGTAGTGACCTGGTTTTGGTACGTGACACACCTTCTCCCCAAGATGTGTAAGTATACCAAGTTTGGTAGCGCTAGGTCAATTAGGGGCCGAGTTATAGAGCGGAAGGAAATAAGATCAAGGTCAAGTAAAGGTCATATAAGGTCGTAGTGACTGGTTTTGGTATGCGACACAACCTTCTCCCCAAGATGTGTAAGTATACCGCAAGTTTGGCTGTAAGCTCTAGCTCATTACGGCAGCCGAGTTATAGGGCAAGCAAGGAAAATTGATCAAGGACCAAGGTAAGAGGTCAAATAAAGGTCCGTAGTAACCTGGTTTTGGTAGCGCAGGTCCTATTAGGGGCCGAGTATAGAAGGGGCTGGACAAGAGATATGATATAAGGTTAAGGTAAATGTCAAATATTAAGGTTGCGCGCCACGTGACCTGGTTGGTACGCTGCCACCTTCTCCCAAAGATGTGTAAGTAACCAAGTTTGGTAGCGCTAGTCAATTAGGGGCCAAGTTAGAGAGCAAAGAAGGGAAATAAATGATCAACGGTCAGGTAAAGGTCGAATAACAGGTCGGCAGTGACCTGATTTTGGTAAGCTGCTCACGTTCTCCCCAAGATGTGTCAAAGTATACCAAGTTTGGTAGCGCTAGTAAATTAAGGGGCCGAGTTAGAAGATCGGAAGGAAAATATGATCAAGGTCCAAGTAAAGGTCAAATAAATGTCGCAGTGAACTGGTTTTTGTACGCTGCTCACCTTCTCCCCAAGCATGTGTAAGTCTACCAAGTTTTGGTAGCAATAGCTAAAATCAGGGCCGAGTTTACAGAAATCGGAAGGGTAAATATGATCAAGGGTCAAGGTAGAAGGTAAATAAATGTCGCAGTGATCTGCGTTTTGTACACTGCTCACCTTGCTTCCCAGTGTGCAAAGTATAAAGTTTGGTAGCGCTAGTCAATTAGGGCCCGAGTTACGAGATCGGAAAGAAAAAAATATGATCAATTCAACGGTAAAGGTCAAAATAAAGGTCACAGTGAAACGCTGGTTTTGGTTAAACACTGCCACCTTCTCACCCAAAAATGTGTAAGTATACCAAGTTTGGTAGCGCTAAAAGGTCAAATTAGGGGTCCGAGTTAAATAAGAGCAGAAGAAAATTGTCTGCAGGCGGCTGGGAGAGACATGAAACCATACGTATCCCGGCCGACTTTCGTCGCGGGTGATACAATAATTAGCAGTCCCGCAGATGGCAGTTGGTGTAGGAGAAATGAAGGGTATTGAAATCGAGGTTCTTATTATAGCGGGTCAAATAAACAGCATAAAGACAAAGCAGTGTTATTGGTTAAATCTGGAAATATAACACAGTAAACGTTACAGTTCCCATGCACATCGATTACAGAAGGATTAGGAATCGCTGGTTGCTGAATTGCACGCGAAAAGATCGGTCGGTCAGCTAGTCAAGTCAGCTAGAATTCATCAACGACCAATAAAGGGCGATGCATACGCGCACACATCCGTTTCAAACAAGTAAATTCATCGAGTAATTACAGCTATGTATACATCTCCATGACTTTACACAAAAGCACGGATTTTCTTACTGTTATCACCAGCTGTTCTATAACAACACTCTCATAGAAGTCACACAAGGAAAGGTGGATGCTACAGTAACTGCTATACTACAGTTTGACACAGTTGGCCCACATTCTTGTTACGCGAAATTTAGATTTCTCTCTCCAGGTTATAAATGTAGCGAGAATATTAACCAAGATTTCACCAAACATTGGCATCAGTGCTGCACAGTTACGTGCTCACGCTGCTGCCTACCACACTGATTAGCTGTTATATACTAATAATTGATGACATGGTGGTTGTGGACATGTACTTTCATGACATTTGCATCATAATAAAATATTCTACATTGATTAAATTAATTATCACAAATATATAAATGTACTAGCGGGATACCGGCATTGCCCGGGGAAATCAGTGGCGTTACTTCAGTTGGTGACCGTTTGGTGAAAGAAAAATACCCCAAAATCGAAACTATCTATCTATCATGCATCCGTTCATGCCAATCCCAATCGCTCCGCCCGACATCCCATCCCATCCCATATTCGCATCCATCCAAGGCCCAGGCCTTCCATTCCATCCCATCCCATCCCCCTATCCCAGCCCATCCAATGCCATGCCATCCCATCCCCATCCCATTCGCATGCCATGCCATCCCATCCCAATCCCATCCCAACAGTAAAACAATATAAGAAATCAAAAGTAAGTCACTTAAAATAAAAAAGTCAAAAATTATAATAATAAATGAATTATTATAAAAATATATATATTTTGATATTTAACCTACATAGGCTTCCGCTGAAGTGTTCCGTCAGTTTGCGCTAGTCATTCACCATGCTAGTACCATAGTTTATTCTGGATTTTCACTAAACGTTTAAATGTGGTAAAAAAATTAAAACTTTGAAATTAATGGTGAATACTGCAGAAGTACATACTAAACAGTCCAAAAGTAAAGAAACAAAGCATTTCCCGAGGTGGGATTCGAACCCAGAATCAATGGTTTAGGAGTCCGATGCTTTATCCATTTGGCTACTGGGCCGTTATGGTTATACACCGTGGATTCACACGTACGTGATGTATAATAATGTTAATCTGTACGCCATCTATTGATGAATAGAATTTTTATTAATTTTTAATTTTTTAACTTTTTTGAAATTCAGTTTGAGTTTCAGCCAGAACCACCTCCCAGACGTGCTGATTCTGAAAATACATTTACATACCAGAGACCAGGCTCAGCTCTGCTAACAATTTTCTACTTTCATCACAATGGCAATGAATTATTCTACTAATAAAAACTTTGATGCAATAGTGTGATAAAATTAACAGTACACATTTCAAAAGACAGTACATGATTTTCAGTCGTCTTTTCGGTGTGTGGTAGCTCTAGAGATTAAATGAACCGCCACTATATATATAACCGCAGCAAACCAAACTTACACAATATGAATGGATGCACGTAACATAATGCAAACAAAACAGTTCCTATACTAGAAGCAGTGCAACGTGGGGTTAGCATGAATGAATGCGTGCATACAGAGAATGTTACTGACTGTGTAGCAGCTGCCGGTGGGGCGGAATGGTGATGCGACCATTTGGGTAGCTGCAAGCTGTCTTGCCTCAGCTCAGACATGACACACATGCGACCTGTGCCTCACCATACACTTATTCACCTGCAACAGCAACGAGAGATAGAGTGACTAAGCAAGCAGTGGGACGCAGGAATGCTGTGTGAGAGTGGAGAAAAGGGGGGAGAGAGACAAAGAAAGAAATGGAGAGAGAGAGAGAGCGAGAGGGAGAGAGAGCGAGAGAGAGAGAGAGAGAGAGAGAGAGAGAGAGAGAGAGAGAGAGAGAGAGAGAGAGAGAGAGAGAGAGAGAGAGAGAGAGAGAGAGAGAGAGAGAGAGAGAGAGAGAGAGAGAGAGAGAGAGAGAGAGAGAGAGAGAGAGAGAGAGAGAGAGAGAGAGAGAGAG